CAGTAAAACTAATGATAAAATATTTAGAAGAAAGACAAGTAATAATTGAATCTCTGGCTTTTTATTTTTTTTTTATTTATTTATTTATTTATTTATTTATTTATTTATTTTTGGTTTTTCAAGACACGGTTTCTCTGTGTTGCTTCAGAGCCTGCCCTGGTACTAGCTCTTGTAGACCAGGCTGGCCTCGAACTCACGAACTCACAGAGATCCACCTGCCCCTGCCTCCCGAGTGCTGGGATTAAAGGCGTGCGCCACCACCACCCGGCTCTCTGGCTTTTTTAAAAAATATTTATTTGTTTATTTATTATGTATACAATATTCTGTCCATATGTGTGCCTGCAGGCCAGAAGAGGGCACCAGGCTTCATTACAAATGGTTGTGGGCTATCATGTGGTTGCTGGGAATTGAACTCAGGATCTTTGGAAGAGCAGGCAATGCTCTTAACCACTGAGCTATCCCTCCAGCCCCAGATCTCTGCCTTTTAAAAATGGCAGTTATCTATTTAAAAGGCCTTTAAAGGCAAGGTCAGCCCCTTTGGAAGAATGGTTCCAAGATACAATTAATATTGAATCTCATGAACATGATGATGCATGAATAGAAGAGGTGATTTCCAAATCACTTAAGAAAAATCAAAATGTCAAATGTTATCATTGTGGCAAACAAGGTCACCTTAACAGGGACACTGTAGACAGGGCATCCCTAGAAGCAATGTATTTTCTAAGAATAATCCGTTCAGAATGCCCTCCCATTTCTGGAATATGTAGAATGTGTGCCAAAGGTAGACATAGGACTAAAGAATGTAGGTCAACGGGGAATATTCAAGGTAATACCCTGCCATTGGGAAACTCTGTGAGGGGCCTTTAGTAGGCCACTATGACAAGTCTGGTTCAGTCATTTCCCACCATCATAGAGGAAACTCCTTCCCAGAGCAATTAAAGAACCTAATGCCTATTATAAAACCATACTGCTCTGGATAATAGAACAGCTATAGAAGATAGAAGAGAAAAAAAAACTCAGGAGAAACCATAAAGTGAGTATTTTGGCAAACTTCTTCTTTTTTTTTTTTGTTTTGTTTTGTTTTTCGAGACAGGGTTTCTCTGTGGCTTTGGAGCCTGTCCTGGAACTAGCTCTGTAGACCAGGCTGGTCTCGAACTCACAAAGATCCGCCTGCCTCTGCCTCCAGAGTGCTGGGATTAAAGGCGTGTGCCACCACCGCCCGGCAATGTTTTGGGTTTTTTTTTTTTTTTTTGCTATTTTTTAAGACATATAATGCAAATAGTTTTTTTGTAGTCCCGTCCAGTTAAAGATTAAAGCTGGGGGCTGGAGAGATGGCTCAGCAGTTAAGAGCATTGCCTGCTCTTGCAAAGGTCCTGAGTTCAATTCCCAGCAACCATATGGTGGCTCACAACCATCTGTAATGAGATCTGGTGCCCTCTTCTGGCCTGCAGACATACACACAGACAGAATATTGTATACATAATAAATAAATAAATATTAAAAAAAATAAAGATTAAAGCTGGTTTTGGAGTCGGAGTGTGGCTCTCTCCTTCTCTAAACCCAAGCATGCTTTTTTTAAAAAAAGATTTATTTATTAATTATGTATACAGCATTCTACTTGCATGTGTCCCTGCAGGCCAGAAGAGGCACCAGATCTCATTATAGATGGTTGTGAGCCATCATGTGGTTGCTGGGAATTGAACTCAGAACCTCTGGAAGAGCAGTCAGTGCTCTTAACCTCTGAGCCATCTCTCCAGCCCCTAGCATGCTTTTTATTTTTTTTAAATTATTTATTTATTGTGTATACAATATTCTGTCTACATGTATGCCTGCAGGCCAGAAGAGGGCACCAGACCCCATTACAGATGGTTGTGAGCCACCATGTGGTTGCTGGGAATTGAACTCAGGACCTTTGGAAGAGCAGGCAATGCTCTTAACCGCTGAGCCATCTCTCCAGCCCCAAGCATGCTTTTTAAAGTGAAAATCAAAATCTATGTCTCATGTTAGAAGAGCTACCTGATATGGGACAGAAGAAAAGCAAAAATTTAAGGACTGCCTTATTGCTATGAATCTCATAATCCTTTGATTTTATATTGACCTTTAGCAGATTTCCTTAAGGTGTAAGATTTATAAAAATTAATATGTATACATATATACACACACATATATATATTCTAAACTTTTTGTCATGATATTAATGGTCATATAGAGTACTAATTTTAGAAAAAGGTCTCATCTACCTCTCTGTACATGATGTCAGGTTTGAGTCTCTATCAGTTTTCTGCAGTGAGCCATGAGCATGCCTAACAGTGACCTTTGCAGTCTCCATGAGGAGGTTGAACCCCACACTGATGACTCCTCCAGAACTATGATAACACCACTAAGCTGAAAAACACCACCTAAAGATGGGCTTTGGACTACAAACTGCGCAGAACAATTTTGAGGTGCCTAGTTGAGATGATCCAGCCTAACAAACTGCTCTAGTCAGGACTTGAGACAAGCCCTGCACTTTCCCATTATGCAGAGACTGGACAACAAATGATACAGCTACCTCTTCCAGGACTTGACAATTAACCCAAATTTTTCTTTTCAGGATCCCCTACAGATGCCTTTGCCCCCAGACAGCAGGAAGTAAATTTAAGAACGCAACACCCACATTCTTTCCAAGAGGTAGGGGTGGGTGGTTTTTGGTCTTTCACTGGGTTATAGATGTTTATCATTGTGAGTTGTTATTAGTAATGGTCAGGAAAAAAGCTAAACAAAGAAAATTAGACTCAAGGTTCTTATTTTAAAAAGAAAAAAAGGGGATCTAGATATAATAGGATAAAGCGGTAGATTATTGAATCTACTTTTAAAAAGCAATTACTAGTTTTAAATGTTTTACATTGGATTGCATGCAGTTTTGTATATTGAGACAAATTTGAGATTGTGTTAGAGCACACTGTACGTACATTTCTACTCTTGTTCAAGGTATTGTACCTATGCAACTCACTTAACAATGCAATGCAAATTTCTAGTCCTTGAAAACTATTATTACCAACTGTTTAGGATAATAAGAAAATGCAGGTTAGTAGTTAATCAATTATTATAATCAAACTTGTAGTCATATTAGATATGTTTTCAAGGTCAAACACTTCAGAGATGTTTTAATAACATAGGCTCTTTTGGGGGGCTGGAGAGATGGCTCAGCGGTTAAGAGCATTGCCTGTTCTTCCAAAGGTCCTGAGTTTAATTCCCAGCAACCACATGGTGACTCACAACCATCTGTAATGAGGTTGGGTGCCCTCTTCTGGCCTGAAGGCATATATTGTATACTAAATAAATAATTATTAAGAAAAAAAACATAGGCTCTTTTTTATGACAATGAGACATGTCTGCTTCTGGCAGTACCAATCTACTTCAGAGAAGATAATGGGCATCGAAGAAACTCCACAAGAAGTTTACTTTCTTTGTGGCAAAATAAGCCATTAGGCAAGAAAATGCCCTTGCCTCAACTGCTGACAGTATGCTGTCCTGATTGGACAAACAGGACACAAAAGAAAGTGACTGCCAAACATTGTCAAGACAAGGAGGGATAGCATTTCAGAATATCCTGCTTCACAGAAAAGTCTGTCGGACATACTAGGCCTGTAGGCCAAAGATAGATGCCCCAATGTTGCAGAGGAACTTTGGGTGACTATTTCTCACACTTTTTGGAAGCCTCTTGCTTGTACTTCCTGCTTACTCAGCTAATATTATTTCCTTCTTGAGTCTCTGAGGGAGTTAAAAACTAGATAGTTATTTTCCTTTTTTACTTGACACAGAGACCAAGTTATGATAGAAAGTAAATTAGGTACAGGACTTTGGACTCACCAAGGTAGGATAGATATGGAGTATTTTCTCTGAATTTGTCAAATGCAAATGGACTAGACATTGTTGATGTATTTATTGTCTGTATATATTGTATATAGTTATTGCACTTATTGTGTATAGTTTTCCTTATATTATATAGCCTTCTTTTTTATTTTAAACAAAAAAGGGGAAATGTAGTAATACTTCTTTTGTATTTTAATAAATAAAGGTTGCCTGAAGACCAGAATGCAAAACAGCCACACTAGTCAGCCATACAGGCCAGGCAGTGGTGGCACACTAGTTAGCCATAGAGGGGTGGTGGTGCCCACCTTTAATCCCAGCACTAGAGAGGAATATAAGGCAGGATGAGTCAGGAACTCACCCTGTTTCAGTCTGAAGATTTAACAACTCTCTAGTGGCTTGGCTGCTTTGCTTCTCTGATCTTCAGGTTGAACCTCAATATCTGTGTCTGGGTTTTTATTATTCGTGCACCATGTAAGCAATAATAAGATGGAGATCTGACCCTCAGACACAGAAGGGAAGGAGATAGAAAGGGAGGAAATACACCAGAACTTACTTTGATAAAAAGTAGTTGCGGGCACGGTTGCGAGTTGGTCTCTGTTGCCTCTGCTCCAAGCCTCACAGTATCATCACCCTGCAGTCACCAATGGAAGAGGTAGAGACAGTGAAGTGTGCCCACTCATGGAGGGGGTCCCCCCAAAAGTTCCTCTATGTTTATCAACAACTTGTGGAAGAAATCAGGGTGAAGGCTGGAGTCTTATTAACAAATGAAGACCTGCAGTTCCAAGGGAGGGGTGGCTGAGGTCGGGGGAGGGGCAAACGCTGCTCCAGGCAACCGGCCTGTAAGGGTGGGAGACCTGCTCTGCCCCTCTCAGTCTGGGAGAGAAGGGCGTGGCCTCCTTGAAGACTTTGGGCTGAGAGCCTCCTCTCTGATTCCGCATTGGGTCAGCGGCTCCCACAGCTCTGCCAATGAGGAACAAATGAGATGGGCTGTTGATTTTTCCATCTTGGCCATTGAGAATTTTCTCACATAAATACTGAGACCGACTCTGCGTTCTCAGTTCTCTGCCCCTGCCCTGAGCTGGCCCTGGTCCCCTGGGATGGACAGAGCCATGGGGCACTTGCTTATGCTGTGGGTGGCTGCGGGCATGTGCTGTACCACCTTCGGTGCCTCTGCGTGGTGAGTCCTTTCCCCAGCCCTTATTCCCTAAGGACGCCCGGCCTGTCATCCCTGTTCACCTCGGTTTTTCTTTTTGGTAGGTCAGTGAGCAATTTCCTGGTAACAGGTCCCAAGGTAGGATGTCTTTCCGTGCCTGCTGATTTTATCCTCTGGGGTCCCTGCTAGACTCTTCTGGGGAAAGAGAAGGGGAGGGGCAGTTTCAGACCCTCTTACGGAGAAACCTCGCAACGCCTAGTTTTTGCGTTGTTGTTTTGTAGTGCCCACGGTTGAACCTAGGGCCTTGTATATGCTAGGCAAGCACTCTGCCTGAGCAGTGTCCCCAGGCCCCGGTATGTTTTTTTTTTTTTTTTTAAACTGGGAAGTTATTTTATTTGAGTCTGCCTTCTCCCCAACCCCACCCGGCCCATGCCCAGGGAAACTCACAGCCCTTTCCCCTGGCACAGGCCTATCTGACGTACGCCACCAGTGTGGCCTTGGGTGCTCAGGCTGGCATGGAAGAGTGCAAGTTCCAGTTTGCCTGGGAGCGCTGGAACTGCCCCGAGCATGCTGTCCAGTTCTCCACCCACAACCGGCTGAGGGGAGGTAAGTGTTCACGGGGCCACACCGCAAGGCGGGCTTGTACACGTGGGTCTATGGCATGTATATGCATGATGAAACGTGAAAGTGACCGGGGCTGCTGAGACACTGCTTCCTAGCAGGGTGACCCTGTCAACACCAGGTTGGGGGGGCACGGGCATGGGACCTGCTCAAAAGGAGTTTTGTACCATTTATTTATTTATTAGGGGGCATGCCGCGGTGTGTGTGTGTGTGTGTGTGTGTGTGTGTGTGTGTGTGTGTAACTTGCAGGAATTTGTTTCTACTTCTACCATGAGTCTGGGATTGAACTCAGGTCATCAGGCCTGGATCTAGGGCCCTGACCTGCTGAGCCCTCTCCAGGCCCTCAGAGTCTGAGAGTTCAATGCTGTGAACAGAAGGGTCTTGTTACAAATGCTGTTGTAGGTTTTAATGCACATCGGCATACTCACCTTGCTCTGATTTGCATGAAATGCAGTAAGAAATAGAGACAGGTACTCACGGAGCCCTCGAAGGCGATGCATTTGCCCCATTACCAGAACATCCTACTGATAATGCAGCTGCAAGATCTGAATGAGTTTGCCTCAGGCGGCTGTGGTGCGTGTGTATGTGTGTGTGTGTGTGTGTGTGTGTATGAGAGATGTGTGTATATGAGATGTGTGTGAGTGAGAGAGAGATGTGGAGGGTGTGTGAGAGAGAAAGAGATGTGGAGGGGTGTGTGGATGTGTGTGTGGTGTGGATGTGTGTGAGATGTGGAGGGGTGTGTGGTGTGAGATGTATGTGTGGTGTCTGTGTGTGTGTAAGAGAGAGAGATGTGGAGGTGTGTGGTGTGTGTATGTGTGTGTGATATGTGTATGATGTGTGTATATGTGTGATATATGTGCATGCGTGTGTGAGGTGTATGTGTGATATATGTATGTGTGTTATGTCTGTGATACATATGTATTATCTGCATGTGTCTCTGTGTTGTTTACATGGTATATGGGTGTGTATGTGTGTGTGCACATGTGCACAAATGGTTTGTTTCAGTTAGTTGCAGGAGTTTGTATGGGAACCCTTTTGTAGAAACAATAGAGTTGCTGGGGAGAGTTGGGGGAGTCCCCTGAGTTTCAGCTTCCCATCCACAGGGTGGGGTGTCCATCCCTGCAGGTAGGAGGTGGGCAGGGACCACAAAGCCAGCCATCTTCCCAAGGCCTCACCTGCGTTTCTCTCCAAAGCCACGAGAGAGTTGTCCTTCCTTCATGCCATCCGCTCTGCTGGAGTTGTGTACACCATCACCAAGAACTGCAGCATGGGTGACTTTGAAAACTGTGGTTGTGATGGGTCAAAAAATGGAAAAACAGGTAAGTTGGCCTTTGGTGGAGGCGGGAAGAGGCAGGGAGCTACAGAACTGAGTGCAGACCGAGTTTCCTAAGTCTAGGGGACTGGGCTATCTTGAATCCCTAGATTCTAGCAGTCCCTTCACTGGGGGGGGGGGGGGGGGGGGGGGGGGGGGGGGGGGGGGGGGATCATGGGCTGCTGAGGGCTGAGTTTGCATCCCTGAGACCAGGAATTAGAAAGTTTCTCTAAACCGGGCAGTGGTGGCTCACGCCTTTAATCCCAGCACTCAGGAAGCAGAGGCAGACGAATCTCTGTGAGTTTGAGGCCAGCCTGGTCTACAGGGCTAGCACCAGGACAGGCTCCAAAGCTACAGAGAAACCCTGTCTAGAAAAACAAAACAAACAACAAAAACAAACAAATAAACAAGGAGATTGGGCCTTGAGAAGGCTGGGAGAGTTGAAGACCAGCCCTGGTATAAGAACAGCTTCTCTTCAACCAACTAACGCTCTCCAACTATTTACAAAGCCCTACAGGACTCAGACCTGTCACTAATGAGGGTGGAGGGGACTCTGACACCATTGTACAAGTGCAGAGGCCTAGAATGTTTGAGTAACTTCCAAGACCATCCAGGTCGTCACGTGTATCCATGTTTCCGGTGGGCACAGAGTGGGCTTGGGAATCGGACCCCACCCATCCTTCCCAAATACCTCCGTTTCCCCATCTCACCTTCAGATACATACAGCTTTAGCACATCCTCCCAGGGCTCTGGAGGACGGTTCAGCTGTCGACTAAACAGAACGCCGCTCTTTCCCTGGGATCTAGCTGAGCGTTGTTTTGAGAACCCTTTCTTTCCTTGTGTGTAGGTGGCCATGGCTGGATCTGGGGAGGCTGCAGCGACAATGTGGAATTTGGGGAAAGAATCTCCAGACTCTTCATGGACAGTCTGGAGAAAGGAAAGGATGCCAGAGCTCTGATGAACCTTCACAACAACAGGGCCGGCAGGCTGGTGGGTACAGCTTTGAACAGCCCCTCACGGTCACCAAGAGCTGGCTCACCCCAGTGCCAGTCAGGAAGAACTGAGGCAGTTGTCTCTGTTTTCTGGATGACAAAGCCAGTTAAGTCCCAGACAACAGCTTGTCTAAGATACTACAGTTGATAAGAGTCAGGCTTCATAGCCATGCAATACATTTTATTTTATTTATTTAATTTATTATTATTATTATTGGTTTTTCGAGACAGGGTTTCTCTGTAGTTTTGGAGCCTGTTATGGTACTAGCTCTTGTAGACCAGGCTGGTCTTGAACTGCACCTGCCTCTCTGCCTCCGGAGTGCTAGGATTAAAGGCGTGCGCCACCACTGCCTGGCTACAATACATTTAAATACCTTTTTTGGTGTGTTTGTGTGTGTTTTCCAAAAATGGTTTTGTTTATGTAGCCCTGACTTGCCTGGTACTTCACTGTATAGTCCTTGACCTCGCGGCAATCTTCCTAGTCTCTGCCTCCCGAGAGCTAGGATTACAGGTTTGAGCCGCTGGGCCACTTTAACCACCTTATCTACACGCTAAGACATCAACAGAGGTCTATTACTGTCCTAACGCCTATCTGGGATTTGAGAGGTTGGGACTGTAGAATCTGTCAACAAGGTTTCTTCCACAAGGTGGAGTAATGTTATAAACTCAAATCTAGAAGCAAGTTGGACTTAGAACAAAAAACATTGAAATTTTCCCGTGAGCTTTCACTTGCTTGTCCTGGTCACCCTGGGCAAGGAGAGGCATTTTCGAGGCAGCTACAACCCCTGCCTGGAGAGCAAATGGATTCAGACCCCTTCTCTCTAAGAGGGTGTGGGGGAGACCCGGGGGAGGGCGACAGGCCACCACAAATAGTCTAGCTCCAGGCTTCCAAACAGACACCATCTGAAATTGTAATTTCTTCATAACTTATAAACTATTTCTTTGTTATTATTTTTTTAATTTCTATTTTTTTTCTTCTTTTTTGCCTGAATTTGACAGGATAATTTCTATTTTCTGAGGTGCTAGAGACTGAACTGTGGCCCACACACATGCTAAACCGGCCCTCTACCCTTGAGCTGTATCATCTGCCCCTATCTTATCCAATATTTGCTTCAGGGGGCCAAGAACACAGTGAAGAAGTGATGGGGTAGGACCAGGAGCCTAGGTTCCTGGCTGCAGTAACCTTCTCAGCACTTGACCAGATCTCCATCGGAGGAAGCATTCAGGTCCTTAACTCCTGAATGTTCTCCTTGAAAAGATCTGGGAAAGGGCTTAGGAGTCTCCCCAGTAATCCCCACAGGTCTCCAGAGCCAGAAACCACCTCTCTAGAATATTCCATTTGGTTGGTAACCGCTGGCCTTCTCTACCAAGAGTTATTCTTTGTGTTCTCTCTCTTCCCCCTCTCCTTCCTTCACTCTCTTTTCTCCTTCCCTCCCCCTCCCCCTCCCTCTCCCTCTCCCTCCCCACTTTTTCTCTCCCTCCCTTTTTCCCTCCCTCTCCCCCCTCTCTCTGAAGGCAGTGAGGGCCTCCATGAAGAGGACCTGCAAATGTCACGGTATCTCAGGAAGCTGTAGCATCCAGACGTGCTGGCTGCAGCTGGCCGACTTCAGGGAGATGGGAGACTATCTAAAAGCCAAGTATGACCGCGCGCTGAAAATTGAGCTGGATAAGCGCCAGTTAAGGGCTGGCAACCGAGCCGAGGGCCGCTGGGCTCCCACGGAGCCCTTCCTTCCCAGCGCAGAGGCTGAGCTGGTCTTCCTGGAGGACTCTCCTGACTACTGCTCCCGCAATGCCAGCCTGGGCATCTATGGCACAGAGGGACGCGAGTGTCTGCAGAACGCCCGCGGTGCGTCCAGGTGGGAGCAGCGCAGCTGTGGGCGCTTGTGCACCCAGTGCGGGCTGCAGGTGGAAGAGAGGAAAACAGAGGCTGTGAGCAGCTGTAACTGCAACTTTAAATGGTGCTGCACCGTCAAGTGTGGCCAGTGCAGGCGTATAGTGAACAGGTACTACTGCACACGTCCCGCGGGTAGTGGCCGGCCCCGGGGTAAGGGAAAGGGCGGTGCTAGATAACACCACCACAAATTCTCTAGCCATCCAGTTGGACGACAGTGGAGGTGGGGACACAGCTTCTGGCCTAGCGGACACAGACTGGAAAGCAACTGAGACATCCATCACCACAGGGTTGGTCTTATGAGAGCTGCCATAGATCACAGGGCCTCTTCACAGAGCTCAAATCGGAACCTGCTTCTCTGACTTGTGCCCCGCCCCCCCCCCCTTTCCCGCGCCTTTACTCCTGGACTTCTGCAGCTTCTTAAAAGAGGAGTTTGCTTTGGAGTGCACATCCAAAGGACCCTCAAAGAATTTGTTCCGTCCAGCTGCGCTGCTGGGAGTTGGAGGGAAGAGAAGCAAAAGGAAAACAGTTCCAGAATTGGGGTGATGGCTCAGTGGTTACAAGCGCTCATTGGTTGACCTTCCAGAGGACTTGATTCACTTCCAGGCGCCCACTTCCAGTTCCAGGGGCTCCAATGTACTTCTCTGGTCTCGTTGGTCAGCAGGCACGAATGTGCACAGACATCCATGCAGGCAAAATATCTATGCATATAAAATAATAAAGTAAAACTTTAATTTAAAAGGATCAGAGTTTTGTTCAGACCTGGGAAGGAGCGCCCTTCCTCACTTCTGACCCATTGAAAGCTCTTGCTGAGGGGGCGTGGGCTGGGACCAGCTTCTCCGACTGTGAGCTGCTTAGTGTGCTGGGGGTTTCCATCTGCTTATACACTTAGAAACAGGTCCCCCGGCTAAACCTTAAGGAAACCAGGACCCAGCGTGACCGGAGCCAAAAGGACAATGAGTGGGCAGGTGACCAGGACTCACCAGACAACATCCTAGAAGAAGAGTACTTCACCAGAGCTATAGAACATCTCGACTCTGTTATTTTCCCAAATTGGAAACTCAATGTCATTTGTAATAAATGCTTCTAGGATTTATTGAGACAGTACTTTTGTTGTAAAAAAAAAGATGTTTCTTTTCATGTGTGTGTGTATAACTGTTTTACCTGCATGTATGTCTGTGTGCCACGTGCCCGTGGAAGTCAGCAGCAGAACTGGAATTACAGGTGGTTGAGAACCACCATGTGGGTGCTGGGAAGTGAACTCAGGTCCTCTGCGAGAGCAGTTGGTGCTATTTTTTGTTGGTTGCTTTGTTTGAAGACAGAGTTTCTCCGTGTGTAGCTCTGGCTGTCCTGGAACTCAAGCTGTAGACCAGGCTGGCCTCGAACTCACAGAAATCTGCCTGCCTCTGCCTTCTGAGTGCTGGGATTATAGGTGTGAGCCTGGTGTGGTTGCTGCTCTGAACCACTGAGCCATCTCCCCAGCCCTAGGACTTCTCTTTTTTGGTCTCTCTAATCCAGACTGGCCTCTCCTAAAACTCAAAGATGACCTTGAACTCTTGACCTCCTACCTCCACTTTCAGAGTGCTGGAGTTATCCCCACCACACCTGGTTTATGTGGTGTTGGGATCGAGTTTAGGACATCACATGCTCCTAGGCCAGCTCTCAGCCGGTTGAGTCATCCTCGGGCCTCAGCTGGGACCTTTTCCTAAGCCCTTTAGAAAACCGGGGATCACCAGGCTATGGAGAAAACGGAACACTCAAGTGATTTCAGTATTTGACAGGAAGTAAAATCAAAACTGAGTGTGGCGGTGCATGCCTACAGTAATCCCAGCACTTGGGAGGCGAGAGGACCAGAAGTTCAGCTATAAAAGGAGTACGAGGCCAGGCTGTCGCAAAAACCAAAATAAATAAATATAAATACAAACAAAAAAGGGAAGTAACAGGAAAACAGTGCGCCAGATTTGGGTGTTATTTAAGTAGAATTTAGGCAACTTTGGGGAGTGAAGAAGTCCTCTGAACTTGGACCACATCCTAGTGTGTTTACTGTCTCAACTGCCTTGGGTGTGGGTACACCAAGACCCGGGTCCCAGGGCGGTAGTCTAGGAAAGCTGTGGATTCTTCTTCCCCTGGTTACACTTTTACTTCTTCCGAAGGTTGCCTCTGGAGGAGGGGTAGAATTCCCTAAAGAGCTGCCGCCTCTTCCCCAAGCCACTGGGTTCCTACCTAATTGAATTTCACAGCCAGAGTGACACTGGTCCGGATCCCTGCGGGAGGTTTAGGGAGGTTTAACAAGTGAGTAAGCGATCCCCAGGAGCGGGCGGCGCTCCCAGGCGTTCGTTTTAAGAACAGGATACTTCTGTTTCTTTCTTGCCTACAATAAATATTTTGCTTTGTGCACTTGCGCGCAGGCGCCCGCAGAGGCCAGGAGACTTCCGATTCCTTTGGAACTGGGGGAGTGGGGGTTAACAGGAGATTGTAAGCCACCCGCTGTGGGTGCTGGAACTAAATTCAGGTCCTCTGCAAGAAGAGTGCAGATTCTTAACTGCTGAACACCGTCTCCAGCTCAAATGATCAGCTCATTTTAAAATTGTCTGTGGTGTTGAGAGTGAGATGGCCCCTAAGGGAATCGGCATCACAGGGGAAACCACAGTGGTTCCTTTAGAGTCTGGTCCAGCCTGACCTCCATCACTTCTAGTTTGAAACCCCACGTGTGTCAGAGGTCAGACACAACAGGAAGTCCATAGACACACTTTCTCCACGACCCGCTTCAAAACAAGGAGAAAAAATAAAAAAGACAACGGTAATGACAGAGAGCGGCAGTGTGGCCGACGTGGGGCTGTGGTGACGGAGACAGCGAGAGAGGAGAGACTAGAGGCTCTGAGTAAGCGGCCAAAGGAAAGATCATTTTCCTGGGAAGTAAAACCAAGGCACAAAAGTTACATGGTCCCGAGTGTCGACCTGCAATGAACACGGATCTCAAAGTACCCAGCCTGACGCCTGATTGGAGGTTGTGATTCCGTTAGGGAAATGAATAAACTCGATTTTTCTCCCCGCATCCCTAACAGAATTTACATCCCAAGGGCCAAGACACCTGCTAGCTTGACACCCGCCCCCCCCCCAACCTTCTGACCCTCATGTTGTATTCATACACCCAAATAATCCTGAGTGGGCGTGGGGCGGTGTTCAGAAACAAAACTATCGCTGCTGCCTTATGGTCTCTGTGGGGTAATAGAAGAGTTTTCACTCCCTCAAAAAAAAAACACAGAAAAAAAATAATTCTGTGGCACCCCCCCCTGCAGCTCACAGTCCGCTGATGTCTTCTCCCGAGCCCCGCCCCCATCCATCTTGCCTCCAAAGCCATCAATCATCACTGACCAGTGTGAACTCTAGCGCCAGAAACTAAAGGAATTTAGATTTCTCCACATCCATCACCTTCCTGTCAGTGTGGCCCATCCAGCCTCATTCAGATCCACCAGTTACAACCCCAACCCCTTCCCAGCAGGCTCGCCCTTGACAAACCGGCTATCATTAAGGTGATCAACAGGTTCAGGATTGGAGGCAGGCAGGTGGACTTGGTTCAGTGCGATGCATCTTGAGAACCTGATGAGAAGGGGATCGAGTGGATGAGGGAAACCTGTTCCTGAGCCAGAATTTCACCAAGTCCAGACCCTCATCACTGTACCTGGGAAATGGCTCCTGTGTTTTCTGTCCAGACTAGAAAATACACCTATACTAGCCACGGGCCCCCATAAGGCTCTTTCTCCATTGCCTTCTCTTCCACCTTCTTCCCATCTGAACTCTGATGGAGATAGAATTAGGGACTCCTAAAGAAGACCCTGAAGCCATTTTCCAGAGCCTGCCATGGGCTCCCACAGACGTAGCCTCAGCTAGCAGTTAGGTGATCATTCCGGGTTCAGGAACCACAATAGGAAGGGACAAGTGGCAAGTGTTTAGCAGACACCCTCGCCTCCAGTCTTCAGAACATCTAATTAAATTGTTGGAATGACTGGGGCTCAGGGTATAACTCAAGGGTGGAGTACGTGCTGTGCATGCTCACGGCCCTGGCTTCAATCCCCATAACCCAAAACACATCAAAGTTTAAGAGTTACATTCATTTCCCTCTTACAGCGGCTCAGAGCGGGCAAGCACCCCAACCCAAGAATGACAACAGGGAGGTGGATTTGAATTCAAACCTGTCACCTCATAAATTCAAATTCTTCCCTTTACAGTCAGTCATTCCGCTGTGGGGAGCCCCAAATCTCCAGCAACACTCTAGCCACCCCGACAGTTGTGGAGTAAAGATCATTCATATGCAGTGAGAGGTGCCCTCTTCCTCTTTCTTCTCCAAGTGAGAGCCGCAGAGTTCCCAGCCTTTCTCCTGAATGAAAGCCTTAACTTTTGATTTGCAAAAGCCTTCCTCAGAATGATAAAGCAGAAGGCCTGGCCCCTGCTGACTTGGGTCGGCAGAATTCTAGTTCTCCAAGGGGCACTCCGAGGGTGGAAAGAAAACCATCGAGCGTTACGGGCTTCATTAGAGGTCAAAGTTTCAAGAGAGGATGTCTAGGGAGGGTGTTTATTTCAGAAGACAGGAAAGGAGCACGGGCTCCCAAGGGAAAAAGGGAATCCCTAGCTGCGCAGCACAAACTGCCTGGAATCCTATTGGCGACAGAAGATCCAAGGTGAAGAAAAATAAAATGAAAGCAAGGACAACCTCGAAGGGTTGAGACAGATCTCGAAGTCCCTCCTCCCACTCCTGTCCCTACCGCAGGGAGAAAGAACCCTGCAAAGCAGGGGAGAGAATGGACCCCGACCCCTGAGCAATCTCCATGGCTGGTGCTCTGGTCATCCCAACCAGGCTGCTCTTCTCAGGGTGAAGCAACGGAAAAGGAATGTGTAATATCCCAAGGGAAGCAGAGGGCTCGGACAGATAGGGGACTAGGGACATGGTGCACCAGTGTGGTTGGTGCACCAGGTGTCTAAGAAGTACCTAAGGGCAGAATTATGGTGAAAACCAGGTAGTCAAAGGAAAAGATTATTTCCCTAGGGCTCGGAGAAATTAAAAAAAAAATCATAGTTACCTGATTCTGATGTTAAAACATTCAGTCAATAATCTTGCTAGTGCGCCCATTCCCAGCAGGGTGTGGCGTCGCCTACCTGTAATCCTGGCACTCCGGAGTCAGGAGCGAGAGGACCAGGTTATGAACTTATGGTTATTCTCAGTTTCGTAGTGAGTCCAAGGCTGACCTAAGCTACATTAGACTGGCTCTCTACTTTGTTTTTCTTCCTTCCTCCCCGCCTCCCCTGCACTTCTTTCTTTCAATGTGCACTCAGGAGGCACAGGCAGATCAAGGCCAGCCTGGTTTACAGAGCTACTGCCAGGTCAACCAGGGCTACCCAGAGAAACCTTGTCTGGGGAAAAGAAGCAGGAGGAAAAGGGGGAGCAGAAAGAAGAGGAGGAGGAAGAGGAGGAGGAGAAGAAAAGAAAGTTAAGGAAAGAAGAGCAGCAAACTACACTCAAACTATTTTGGGTTTGTTGATTGTTGTCCTGGGTTTGTTTGAGACAAGTCCTTGCTAAGCAGCACAGGCTGGCCTTGAACTAGAAATTGTTCTGTCTGTCTCAGTCCCCCAAGCTCTGAGGTGACAGTTAGGCACCTCCTATCTATACAGCAGTATACTTTGTCTTGAAAGACCAGGGGGGAGGGGATGCCAGTCCTTCTCTTCCTGCGGCAGGTGTTTGTAAGACATGTGCCCATCTGCACATGAGCCTGAGGGTTCAGCCTCTGTCTTCTAAGGCCCCGTGTTATGCGTTTAAGACAAAGCTACTCCTACTTCCAGAAGAAATAGCCCCAAATGCTGCCAATCACCAAGGTCCTCATGTGCTGGGAACTGGAGGTGGGATGGGGACAAGGATGTGACATTCACTTCAGGGGTCCTCTGTTCTGGGATCCACAGCTGGCCATTGAATCTTGAGTACTTGAACATTTAGTCCCAAGCTGATGGTACTGTCTGGGAAGATTTAAGTGCTACAGGCTCACTGAAGAAAGGATGCTGCTATAGGTAGACTTTGAGATTCAAAACCCTCCACCCCTTCCCATTCACTCTTTCTCTTTCCTGCTTGCCCTAGAAGATGTGAGCGTTCAGAATCCAGTTCCTGGCATAGTGGGTGCCACTTGCCGCCACGCTTCCCCACAACAGTTGACTCATCCATCAGGAACCATAAGCCAATATAAATCCTTCTGTAAGTCGCTGTGTTTTGTCTTAGCAACACCACAGAAAAGTAACTAATACAGTGAAAGGCCTAATAAAATCCAGCGGCTGAGCTCGCTCTTCGGAGTCACCCATGACTCCACGCTCTGCTCAGCTGCTCATATTTGGTCGCCTTCCCTTGGTTTGTTCTCCGGCTCTGCTTTGCTCTCTGTCACCTTCACCTCCACTCTGGGTTACACCCTGTATCTGGGTTTTGCACTAATCCAGTAACTGTTGGGTTTGTTGTTGTTGTTCCTCAGCTTGTCAAGATCTCACTCTGTAGCCCAGGGAGGCCTAGAACTCATTTTATAGCCCCTGTTGGCCTTGAATTTATGGTAATTCTTCTGCCTCAGCCTTCCAAGGACTGGGGTTATAGATGTGGGTACCATAACTGACTTATTATAATAAATTATATGTGTGTGCACACATATATACGTTTGTGTACGATCGCTTTAGCCTACTTCCTTGCCAGCCTATCACCTTTCCAAGCATAGCTATTCTTAACTTACTTCCCCTATTTTATCGCTTGCTCCTGCAGCTGTAGCCAGGCCAGGTTATGATATTGCCTTGCACACATAATTTCTACTTTATTTCTGCATCCCAGTTGAGTGCTTTGTCCCATGTACCTGTCCAACTCTGAAGACTCCTTGAAGGGCCACCTATTTCTCGACCTTGTGTTCCATTAGTCAGAGAGAACTACACATTATTTTATTGCCTATGCAATGTGTTCTTGTCTCTACAACAGGTAGAGCCAGGTGTGGTGGAACTTGGCTGTGATCCGGGCAGAGGCAGGAGGATCCGGAGTTAAAGGTTTCCCTCAGCTACCGAGCAAGCTCTAGGCCAGCAAGGGCTACAAGAGACCCTGTCTTTTTTTGTTTGTTTGTTTGTTTGTTTTCTTGAGACAGGGTTTCCCTGTGTAGCTTCAGAACCTGTCCTGGAACTCGCTGTGTAGACCAGACTAGCCTTGAACTCACTGAGATTCACCTGCCTCTGCCTTGACAGCTGAGACTATTTTATTAATCTTTATTTTATGTGCGTTTGTCTGTTTGAGGGCATCAGATCTTAGAGTTACAGACAGGTTGTTAGTTGCCATGTGGTGCTAGGAATTGAACCTAGATCCTCTGGAAGAGCAGTCAGTGCTCTTAACCACTGAGCCATCTCTCCAGCCCTAGACCCTGTCTCAAAAACACAAACAAGCTGGGAGGTAGTAGTGCAGGCCTTTAATCTCAGCATTTGGGAGGCAGACTTGAGGGATCTCAGTGACTTCAAGGCCAGCCAGTACTATTTACACAGAAAAATCTTGTCTCAAAACAACAAAACCCACAAACAAACAAACAAACAAAAACCCACAATAGAGCTGACATACCTCTCTCAGAGGTAGGAAGGACCATGATGCCTTAGTCAAAAATCCCAATGGACTTCAGTGGCCTCTGGAAACACAGTAATCTTTCTTGGTTTGGGGCTTTTGTTAAAAGTACAATTATCATGGCTCATCCATCACTCTGAAAAGTGTCCTGGATTCTTATTTGTTCTATTTTGTAGTTTGAGGAACCCAACCCAAGGCCTTGTGCATGCAAGACAGGTGCCCTATCACCAAGCTACATCCCTAGCTCATCTCTGTTTGTTTGTTTGTTTGTTTGTTTTTAAAGTTTTGCCGTGTAGATATGCTAGCCTGAAACTGGCCATAGATTACAACTAGCCTCAAACTTGCAGTAATGGCTCTATGGCAAAGGATCTGAGCTCAGATCTCTGAGCAAGGTGGGACACCATCTGCAATCCCAGCCCTGGGCAGGGGAAACCAGGCAAATCTCCTGAGCTTCCTGACCAGTCTAGCCCAACTGGCGAGCTCCAAGTTCAGTGAGAG